ATGTGGGATATGAAATACTTGAAGTGGAAAAATCAGTGCAATAACTATAAGTGATCTTTTCTTTAGAAATAAATTGTGTTCGTATCAGCACTTTGTTGTTTGGTTTAATGTTTTTTTAATAGAATCAGAATCAGCTTTGCCATGTAGGATGGAGGAATTTGACTCAGGATTGTATCACGATGTGCTTACTCATACAATAATAAAAATCAAACACAGACTACAGCATATAGAACACACAGAGATAGAGATATATAGATATAGAGAGAGAGATATATAGAGATATATATATATACAGTGAGGAAAATAAGTATTTGAACACCCTGCTATTTTGCAAGTTCTCCCACTTAGAAATCATGGAGTGGTCTGAAATTGTCATCGTAGGTGCATGTCCACTGTGAGAGACATAATCAAAAAAAAAAAATCCAGAAATCACAATGTATGATTTTTTAACTATTTATTTGTATGATACAGCTGCAAGTATAATAAGTATAATAGCAGGGTGTTCAAATACTTATTTTCCTCACTGTGTGTGTGTATGTATATATATATCTATATATATATATCTATCTATATCTATCTATATATATCTATATATCTCTATATCTCTATCTATATCTATATATCTCTATATATCTCTATATCTCTATATCTCTAGAGAGAGAGAGAGAGAGAGAGAGAGAGACTACAAACAAAAACAATATAGACAGATTGCCAAATAGTGCAATGAAGCACTACAGAGCGTAATCTAGAAGTCGTCTGCCGTCTGAGGCACCATCTTGGTATTTAAGCCATTCTTGTTTTGTTTTTTTGTTATGAAGGACTAAATGAGAAATTGTGAATTACCCATATTGTTTATCAGGTGTGGGCCTCTCCTCAGGTAAAGCCTGGAAAAAGGTGCCTCCTCACCTCCACAGTTGGCTTGCTTTTATATGCTCAATTCCTGGATACCTTTTGGATTATTATGATGTTATATGATCACAGACACTCAACAATTGAGCCAAGATAGACCAATATTGCTGTTTGACACAACGTCAGACTACACTACATACATAAAAAAGGTCTGTTCTAAGGCATTTATTAGTTTCTGACCGATAAAGTGGGAAAAACAGTAAACTTCCCCCAAACTACTGCATCTGTGAACTCAATCTTTAACCATATTGCACACATTAAGGCTATTGTATGTGATTTACTTATGATAACAAGTAATGTAATATTTTCTCACTCATTTACTGAGCTTCCCCTGAAACTGTTTAGAGTCACCTTGGTAAATACATTAACTTGGTTAAATACAATAACTTGGTTAAGGATGCGAGAACACACTATTTTTCTGAACTCATTACTAAACAAAAACACAATCCCAGGTTTCTGTTAAAGACTGTGGATCAGCTGGTAAACCCAACCCCTCCTTGTGCCTCAGCTGGAAGTAATGATGAGTAAATTGATATTTTGGATAATCAGCATTTTATGTCACTGACAGGTGTAAAAAACTCACTTTTATCATAAAGCTTTTTAAAAGTTTTATATAAATCTGGCAAGCTTGTGCATGTGTGTGAAGTTGTGTATGTGTGTCTGAGCATTTATAGTGGTGGAAGTATTCAGATCCATTACTTAAGTAAAAGTACTAATATCACACTGTAAAAATACTAATAATAATATTACAAGCGAAATTCCTGCATATAAGTAAAAGTACGTAATGAAGAAAATGGCCCACGCGACTCTTTTGTTATCATTTAGTCAGTATTACATTCAGCATTCAACCACGTAAAATAATGCAAAGTGCTTCAGTTTAGAAAGCAAAGCATACATTTCAACACGAATATAACAAATAAAAGTATTTTATCCTATTGCCACCATTTTTATTTATATATTTATTTATTGCACCATTAATCAAGTCGTAGGTTAAACTAGCTGATCTATGCAGTCAGTGATGTGTTGATGCTGAACATTTGTAACATTTATGGTAAAAGCTAAAATCTTATAGCAAATAAAGCAGAAAAAATTGCTAACACGGCATAAGGCAATAAACAAAATCTATGATTTGAAATATGCTGTAACATTATTGTGTGATTATTAACTCTCCCCTTAAAGCTCACATTTCTATTAACTTTATAGAGAAATCATTCAAATTCAGTCTCCAGCACTCGGTAAAGTTATATTTATTTAACATGTTTTAATGCACTAAATGTGGCTCATTGTCAACATAACAGAGGCAATTCAGCGCAGATAACAGAGTTGTGAAAGCATTAGCTGATAAGCTGCGTTTACATGTCTGCTATTGATGTCTTGCAGCTAAATAGGGTCTCTCACAGAGTTCTCATAACACATGCAGCAAGTAGCAATTACAGCTATCTCTCCGCTTTTCATTTAATCTACCTTTAAATACTCACCCTTCACACACATTTTCTTGCTCCAGGAATATAAAAGAAATGCTACTAATTAAATGCAAAACTTGTTTCAGCTCGGTAAGAAATCTATTTTATGACAAATTGGTTATGTGAGG